TACAATCGATCAAATGAAATGATGTTGAAATTTTTTGGATTTTATTTTTATTTTTAATACTCATGACAAATATACTCATGAATCTACTGTTAAACAACTTATTATTTTTTTTTTTTATCTTATTATTTATTTTTATTGGAATGAAAAGCAATAAAATTCTATGGATTTCAAAAATAGCTCAAGACTCTATAGACACTCTGTATGGACTCATTCTTTCATTTATACATTTGAAAGCAATCTTTCTGTAGCTCGGTTTCTCTAAAACCTGCCAGGCTCTCCATTAATAACTTAAAGAGGTTTCGTACAAGTGAAATCGGAGCAAAATCAGAGTATAGTACATCGCGAAAAAAACGAGGCTAACAGCTGTAAAACAATCAAGTTATTGACTCTTATGATCCGCCAATAAAAAAAAAAAATACGAAGAGCAAAGAGCACAATTCGTTCCTTTTTTTTTTTTAGTTAGAAAAGCACAAAGAATTTTGCGAAGAGCAATCAAGGGAACGACGATAAAAAGATGTACTTAATTATGAGATCGGATCTCACCATTATTATTATCTCTTCTCCTTATTATCTTCTTTTTTTCACTTAAAAATACGGTGAAACCTTAATTCATCTATTTTAGATCAGTAAATCATTATTTTGAATTTTTATGTTAAAAGCTGTAAAATAATTAAATAAGAAAAAGTAAACAATTAAAGATAAGAGAAAAGGAGTAAATGAGGAAAATTTAAAAATTATATCTTCATAGAGAAATTCTGGAAATAAAATTTAAGGTTTCATTGCGCAAAAATTTATCAAAAATTATTATCGATAATAATATTGATAATCATCTGAGTTCATTTTGATTCGTTTCGATAACAAATAAGAAATATGGCAAACTTATTTTTTTAAATTCCAGATTTTTAAATTCCAAATTTAGATTAATCGAGTCGTAGTCAATTTTTCTTTGTTCCATTTTTTTTAATCTTTCAAATGTTTCGCACAGATGTGTATCGTGTAAAACACATCGACTTAAAAACTATATATATCCACTGCCAAGATAGTGAAAGAAATGAAAAACGAATATATTAATATTTCATGAGGAAATTATATAAATGAAAAGAGAAAAAAAATAGTCATGATAGGTCTTCTCTCCTGATTGCAATGATCAGTTAGAAATCGTAATATATGTTTCTTAATTATTAGGCTAGAAATCCTTCTCGTAAAGATTCTCAGTTTAAAATCGCAATATAATTGATGATGAAACGTCGAGTCATTCTGTACATAATATCCTATTGCAATTAAACTACTGAATTATGAATTCTAAGAAATATGTTTCTGATTTCTATTTTAAATACATAGAATGACAGTTTTCTTGAATTGGATCTCTTATTTTCTTCCAATGGAAGAAAATTTTCTTTTATAGGTTATAAAGTTTTAAAAAATTCGATAATTTGAAAGTTGAGAATTTTAATACATTGCAGTCTAATAATTCTATGAGAACGAAAGATATTTTAGAAAATACTTGTTACATTACTAATGTACTGCAATATATTAAGAAATATATATGTAACACAGTGATCTTCAACTGACTGTCGTGCACAAATCTGTATGTTTTATACCTGAATTTGTTTTCACATAATCTTTTATGCTATTAATAGAATTAAAATTGTAAAATTTATTGGATCTTGCGTATTCGAATTTTTTTGTCGAGAAATTTCCATATATTTCAATATGGAGCTCAAATTTCTGATTCATTTAGGATTTTCTATCATGATTCACCTGCTCATCAGGTTTGAATTCACTATATGTTAAACATAAAATCTATTGGTGATGATATTTGTCGTTTTTCTCACATTTGAGAAGAGATATATAATTTTTGCGAAGAAACATTAACGCATTCGCAAAAACATTATTATTAAAGAATTTATTTCTGTAATGTAAAATGACTATTTATATATATATAAGTGTGGAAAAAAAAATTATTGCAATCGAGAGAAAACTTTTAATTTTTAATATTTATGCAAATTTATTATATTGGAACGATGAAAATGATTGACTACCAATTATAATGATATGCAGTACTAAAGATATATATGTATATATATATCTTTTATATATATATATTATATCTTTTATATATATATAATATATTATAATTTTTATTAATTATTATTGGCGATTATTATTATTATTATTATTATTATTATTATTATTATTATTATTACTATTACTATTATTATTATTATTATTATTATTATTATTATTATTATTATTATTATTATTATTATTATTATTATTATTATTGTCTTATTTTATTTATTATTATTATTATTATTATTATTATTATTATTATTATTATTATTATTATTATTAATTATCGCCATCATCATCGTCATCATCATCATCATCATCATCGTCGTCATCATCATCATCATCGTCTATTATTATTATTATTATTATTATTATTATTATTATTATTATCATCTATTATTATTATTATTATTATTATTATTATTATTATTATTATTATTATTATTATTATTATTATTATTATTATTATTAATATTAATATTAATATTATTGTTATTATATAAAATAAGTTTAAGATATGTTATTTAAATGTTATATTTGATTAAAACCGATCAGTAGAGGGTACATGAACATTTTTATATATCTTTAGTACGATTCTTTTTTTCTTGTTTGATATCACAAAAAAATCTGTATTGTTTATCAGTGACATGAAATCTCTGAATTCACTTTAAATGAAGTGGAAATTGGAATATTTTTAATATAAAATGAACAAATTTTTTCTATATTCGTTTGAATATAATATAAAATAAAATATCGAAATATTTACATATATTGTACTATAACGTTTTATTTTATTTGATAGTTCGAAAATACTCAAAGTATAGATTATTTTATTTAATTATTTATTACATTGATAAAGGTTACATTATATTTGTTACATTTTTTTAATGATTTGATATTTAATAGAAAATAAATTAAATGAAATAATATTTTTAAGAAAATAACAAGTTCAAATCAATTAGTATGTAATTGTAAATATTGTGAATTTAACTTAACTATGCTATTGCAGAGAATTGATTATTTCAATTTATTATAATTCATTGATTCCTCTACTGAACGGAAAAAGCAAGAGTGTGCGTTATGGAAATTCGTTTCTTAATTCACGTTTTCACAAATGAGAAAAATATTTGCACAATGATTTAGTAAATAAAAAAAATACTGATTCTTAAAGGCAATCGTATAATTAATAATTATAAATTACTGTATACGTATATTTTGATCTAAAAATCTTTTTCCCTTTTGGATAATTTTTTTACTCTTTTAATATGTATACGTATATAAATGTTTATTTTACACTACTAAAATGATTTTTTTTATTTGTTCTTAGTTGAATTTCTTTCTTTCGTGATATTCTAAATTTTATGAAAAATATTTTTCAGGGTATTTGTCTTGCTATTTAAAAATATACGAAAAAAGAATTAAATATTATTTATGTTTCAACCACAATATTATTAATATTAATTTATTTTATTAATATTGAGCTTTGTCTTCAATCTAAATCTCTCGGACAGAAAGAAAATTATAAAAGAAATATATATCTTAAATCATCTTTTAAAATATTACATTTTCTTAAGTGACTTATTATGTAAGATTATATATTTTAAAGTAAAGAGATTAAAAATTGGAAAATATGATAGCACCTAATGGAATACAAAACAATACGATCTAAAAAAGTTTGTATTTTATTAAGAATAAAATAGAAAAATTAAAGCTTTTCTATGTTTGGCTTATGCCAGGTTATATTCATGATGTTTTTTCACGGTCGAAAAAAGAAAAAGAACAAAATACTCGGTTGTTTGTAATCATCTCTCATTTACTTGGTGAAAATTTTTCTCAGGAATAATAAATTATAAACTTTGCAGAGCAGATTTATTTAATCATAATAAATTTCTGATTTTTGTCTTTCTCAAAATAAATATATTTTTTCAATTATTAATCTTAATAAAAATAATTACGTTATCAATATGACGAAATGTTCAAATAAATTACAGATTATATATCAAAGATATTTTCAGCTGTGAACACCGGCACATTAGCTTTCATTCTCTTTTTTTATTCACGCTAATATATTTCCTATTTGTGTAAGTGATCACTCTCGCTCGCAAATCGATTTATTTTACGATCATTCCAGTCTAATTCTATTTAAAATTAATTAAGAGATCCGCACTGAAGCTTTTGCACTGCGTAATGGACAAATCCTATGTTATAAACCAATGTATCACTGGAATAGGTCTAGTTAATGCTAATTATGAAGTTTAATATTGGTTTATCAAGGTTATGTCGAGTAATCACCTTCTAACTATAACAGCATAATAAATTCTTGAGCCATTTCGCTAAAAATTTTGATTTTGAATTAAAGCGATATAGTATAAAATAATGCTGTTTAAATTTCAATGAATTTAATTGAAAAAAAGAAATATTATTTTTTTATTACGAAGACATGTAGAAAAAAATAAAATCAATTAAAGAACTCTGCTGGTAAACAGAAATTACTCCTTAATTAACCTTGAACTGAACTAATATCCATGTGAATTCTAACATAGAAAATTTCATTACAATCCGTTAATCATATATTGATCTTATTATCAACTAACCATTCACTATTTTATAAGAATACTTGACGTTAAGTTTACAATATTTTACGAACTTATATTTATTTATAATAATTTATTGAGATAATCTAACATGCAATAGTCATTTAAATACATTGATGGTTATTCTTACAGAATATTTTCAGCGAAATCAAACTCTAACCTTAAATTTACTCTGCTTATCTATTGTCGGAAATTTAACATTTAATATTCCATTGATATTTAGCTTAATTAGTATTTTAACTATTTTTGACACTATGCATTCACAAAATACTCTATTTATATTATTTCACATGATTATTGTTACTTTTATATTTTTTCTTCCTTTTTTTTTTTTTTTCTTTTTGCATCTTATAATTCATTACGTTTCGAGAACTTTAAAATGCAAAGGTAAATGAAACTTATTTAATTAAGTATCTTAACTTTGCAAGTTTGTTAATTTTGACTACAAATAACGGGGATAAGGGGAAGATTTATATTGAATTTATTTCACCAATGGAACGGTAGTAATTGAGAAATGAAACATATTGTATGAGGGTATAATATCAAGGATATTATGTCTTGCGTTGCATGTACGAGCTATTCTCGGTTTCTGCTTACCAATCTCTATTATCTTTTAAGTTCTGTTTCCATGCAATCGTATTCCGCAGATTCTGCGTATTCGAATTACATAAAAAATAATATTATACAGCAGGTATTATTTTTAAGTATAGTCTTCTTTCTCAATAATAATTAATGATGAGGCACTTTTTAGCTTTATCAGTTCTAAAGTTATTTTTGTTTTTTAATACAATTAATATATTAGAATTTTGAAGATTATTTCTATCTTAAGATCAGTTTCCAATGATTTCTTGCATAATTTATATTTGAAACAACAAAATTATTGAGAAAAATTTTTTAAGAAGTTAAACATTATAATTGCGCTTTTTTCTAGGAAAATTCAAAGAGATTAATTTAAATCAGTTAAAAAGTGCCTAAAGGCAGAGCGGTGTTACTCAAACCGGGCCATAAATGGGAAACAGTAAAAAAAATTTTTTTTAATCGATATTTCGAAAACTGGTGTACTAGTAAGCGCGTTAACTGCTCGTTGCATCTAGTTATAACCATGATATTATCCTTTGCTCTTGAAGGTAATAGGTGGCGAGTTGCAGGAACGTTTGATACCAGTACCCTACAGCAAGAGTTCGACAGACCAAGCTGTAAGCGCTCCTCTCTGCTCTATCTTTCTTACTTTCGCTAAATCTTTACCTTATTTCTATCTATCTGTCTGACTGCTATCTGTCTGTCTGTCTATATCTATCTACCTATAACTGTCTTTGTTCTATGTTTGCACAAGCATATACAATATAACACACATGCAATCGTTTACACATGGAGTTTTTCTTCTGCTTCTCTCTCTCTTTCTCTCTCTCTCTCTCACACACACACACACTCTCTCTCTATCTTCCTTAAATTGTTCTGTTTCATTATTTACCCAATGTTTTTTACTCGCTTTCTATGTGCTATCTATTTGTTGCTGCTTTTATCTGCCTTCTAGATTTTCATACTCTTTTTTTCTATTATTTTTCTGTTCTTTATTTTTAATATGAATTATTTTTAATATTAATTCCTTAACCTTTGCATTTCTACTCAATTCAATTTGAATCAAATAAAATATGTTCTTTTAAGAACAAGATTTGATAGATTTTTGAAAGAAATCTAGTTTAAAATTTTAAAGAATACAAACATTAGCAATAGTTTATTTTTTACAGTATTAATATTATACAACTACAAATCCCTTATTTTTTTTACCATGTTTGAATCTTTTCTCTTACCGATACTTTTCCTTGCGCACACATTACATAGTTATACACTATCACAATTATTATAATATAAGTATGCGCACATAAGCTTTTATTTGTCTGCTTTTTTTTTTTTTTTTTTATTTATTAAACGTTTCTCTTTCTTCGTGAATCTCGATACCTAGTGATATCAAGATTCATTCTATGTTTTTTATGTATAGATTTAAAACTAAAAGTTTTTCAATAGATCATGTTCCAATTATTTAATTAGATTAATAATAAAGATTGATAACTTTGATTCAAGTAAGTTTAATAAATTTAATAAAATTTTTTTAAAATTTAAAGGTATATCATCTATTTTGTTATAAAGGCATTACTACTATTTCTATTATATTCTTCTATTAATGAAATAGTATGTAAAAACATAATTTCTATCTTTTTCTTTGCAATTACATTTCATAAAAGACATTAAAAATAATCACTGGTGTCGAGAATATACAATTTCTTACTGATATATGATAAAGTGAAAAAAAGTTCCTTTTTTAAATAGCACGCTACATTTTTATCTTTACATTTTTACTTCGTATCTCACGATTTTATCCTATTTTTCTTTCTTTATTTTTTTTATAAATGACAAAATATAAATTAATTATATTTCTCGTTTCGATAAAAAAAATAAAAAGGATATAATTTAATAAAATAATTAAAAATAATTAAAGTGTAATTAAATCATAAATATAAAATTATTATTAAATTTCTTAAGTGAAAAGAATCTAGTGAAATTTAAAATTAGAATTTCATTTTACTAATAGATTTATGATTATGCATTGAAAGTAAAGAAACCTAGTAAATAAAATAAATAAATAAAAATAAGTAAAGAAATAAAATCTGAAAAAAATCAGGTTAGATTTATGATCTCGAGATATTAAATATGAAGTCACTTTTTTGCATACTTTATTGCACACTAAGCAATTAATATGAAGAAAAAACTAATCGACAAGCATTATTATTGTAAGAAAACATATAATCTGATAATTTTGTTAATTAATAAATATTAAAGTCTATCATCTATTCGTATAATTTCTTTATTTTCAATAATTCGATTCATTAAGTGACAAAAATTAATATCAATATAAAATGATTAAATATAATCAGTTAAGATTAATAATTTTTTATCGAAACGAGACTCTTTATTGCAAAATTCATTGATAATAGGTAATTTAAAAGAACGAAAAAACATTTCGTTCAATAAGATTATTTTTCTTATAATTACAGAGCGGGATTTTTGATTTGAATCCTATTTTATAAATCTGCTGTAATTAATAATATTCATTAAGGATGGTCTTTTTTATATTTAATGGATATTTCGCTGAATTTTCGGCTATGCTTACATGCAAGCAAGTAGTATGATACCTTTGATTGTATTTATGATACGACGTGGTTCGCGTAAGTTTATTATTTTTTTTTTTATTAATTACATTACTCGTTCATTGAAACTGATCTTCGATATAATAAAGTTAATTGAACTGATGTATACTGAATAAACTTTTCGAATTTCGAAGATCATTGAAGTTGTATATAAAGACAAAGATATTGTATATATTACATATTATATATGTATTTATTATAAAAAAAACTTCAAAAAAGAAATATTATATTTTTCTCCAATTTTTATCACACGATCCACGTCGTGTTTGTAGGCACGTTACTATTGTTCCATGCATTACGGCTGTACCATAAATTTTTTATTTATAATTATATTTTTTCTAAATGAACGTATTTTTGGCCATGGATTTATAATAAACCTGAGAGACTTATACAAGATATATCATATATTTAAATTAAAATTTCTAGCAACGCCATATGCGATTATAGTGTCCTCTTTTGCGACACTGGATATATTAGATGCAAGTAGGCAAACTTGTGAAGGCTTCTGTGATTTTTTTTTGTTATATTTATTAAACTCTAAGGATAATTCTACAAAGATAATATAAAGAGATAGTTTTACAATAATATTGAATAAAGAAAAATTATTTTTTTCTTATTTATCGATAATATTCGATATTTATCGTGAAAATAAAGAAGCGAAGATGTGTTTGTAGAACAAAATATAATTTTTATTGACTCATAAATTTCTTAAAGTCATCAGTCCATTAACATGTATTTTTTTTTATGTCAAATAACTTAAATATAGTTAAATGACACATGATACATTCTAATACTTTTTCGATGTTCTTTGGCGACGCATTGAGATCTCTTTTTGATAAAAGATCCTTCTTTATTTCTCTTTACCACCATATTCACCTTCTCTCTCTCTCTCTCTCTCTCTTTAATAAATCTGTACACTCTGGCTGATCCTCGCGGCACGATTGATGCGGCTTCCCTCCAAATTTTGACACTTTTTTATCGATAGTTAATAAGCTTGAAAACAATATTGCTACGCATCAATTTTTCCAAGCTTTCACAAAAAACAAAAAGGAATATTTACTGATTTCCATTGATCTCATTTTTTTTTACTATTTACTATAACTATTTTTTCAAGTTAAAGAGAAAAATAATTTCCGTTTTGCGTGTGCCTTGTGCATATGTATCTCTGTTATTCGATAATGAGAGTAGAGAGGGCAGGCGCGTCGTTCGTCATGCGGGGAATCATCAGACCACATGTGTCGATCTGTGAGCTGCTTATAATATAAGTGAAATGAAAGAGAGAAACATGACGAACTGAAAACATGATCAAATTTGTGGGATGACCATTGTCTCCCTGTGGAATGCAGAATCGTTGATCAACAGAGCGCATTGCGCAGCGTAGCGTGCATGTTTAAAGTACCAGAGAGACGCATTATCTAAACCGGATATTCGACCAGGTTAAAGAGTCTGACTGTCAGCCTGATTAGGGGACCACTCTCCACGACGCATCGTGTAAGTATTTCCTCAATGTTTTCTGTCAAACAACAAAGCAATCATATGATCAGATTTAAACAAAAAAGAATAAGAATAATTTTTAAAAATACACAATAATTTATTAACGCGACATATTTTCCTGCCATCTCTATGAAAATGCAAGGAAGGAAGAAAAAAAGAGAGAGATTCAGTCTTTATATGTTTTATATTATCTTATGAATATATATATATATATAGAATATATTTTATATATTTATATTGTATTTATATATAATATAATAGTATAATATATTTTTATATATATTATATTATGTGTTTATATATTTATTTATATTTATAGAAATATTCTATATTCATTTATGTACATGTCAAGACAAGTAAGAATATAAATAATCTCGCATATATTTTCGGATGGGGGTTGTTCTTTATCTATACGGGGGTAAATTTTTTTGGCTGATTTGAATATAGCAGTGTTCATCAGTTACGTAATACTACGCCAATGCATGCTAAATTTTTGCAGTTTGCAATCTGTCACGCTGTATTACAGTTCACCAAACGATGCAAGTGTATATGCGTGAAATTTTAATTTTTTTTTTTTTTTAAGAATCGATATTGAATGTAATACCAGCTTTTAATCGCGTATACTTTTAGTAGTGTGTTTTTGTCGATAATGTTTCATTTATTATGTTGGCTTGTTTGAAAATATTTCTAAAAACTCTAAAATTTTTTTTTATATTTTTTCAAGGAATCTTTAATAGATAGAAATTATGCTTAAAGTGAATAAGCGTCGCATATCCGCTTTCTGCATCAATGATCGCATATCTGAAGCAGAAATTGATCTTATCAAGTAAACATGGGAAGGATCCAGTGAAGGACTCCAGCGATCAACGGGTGCATGTAGTGTTGCGTGACATTGCAAATATAATTTGAGGTTATGATGTCTATGGTTTATAAAATTAATTGTCTTAAAAAAAAAGAAAAAAATCTAATTTAAAAATAATTATAAATTATTTTACATAGACAAATTAATTTTTTTTACTAAAAAAAGAACTGTAAATTTCTAAATACCATTGACGTCGTTCTTCAAATTCTATTGTCTAACTATTGCCTTGCTGTGCAGGGTATCAACGCCCCGCTAGTTCTTCTAGTAATTCGTGTGGCCGCTGCTTTCTGTCTTTATACATACACATAATTATAATTATATATATATATCTACATAACTGTTTCCTAATCTGTTTTATGGAGGTTGATCATTGTATCCGTTAAAGAAATATTAAAAAAACTATTTATTTCCTTAACTTATTAAAAAATTATGCTTTTCAGCGCATCATTTAATGTTGCTTTTAAGCCACATGCATTTTCTCATCGACATTCATTGTTTTTTAAAATTTGTAAATTTATAAAAATAGTAATTTTACTAACAACTATTCATTCATATTTAAACAAAAATATTAGATAAAAATAATATTTAATAATAATTATAATTAAATAAAATAAAAAGATGTCGATGGGATATAATAGGATAAAAGATCAACTTCAATTATTTAACTGGATCTATCTAACAGTGTATTTCTCCCAAAGCTCATGGCATAGCCAGGGACATGAAAACTCTGCATTTACAGAAAGATTTCCAATTACAGATCCGCGTAGTGAACGCATTTCGGCAGGGCCTAGACGCACGCTACACGAGCGAGCACAGCAGCACTACATTGGCGGAGGTACTGAGAAAACAGTCGTCCTTAAGCAAGCGGCTCTCGCAAACGAGCAGCATTGAATACGCCGATAACAACCCAGACGAACTGACCATACCCGAGATAGACGTGGAAAGATTATCAAGTCACAGTCATACCGAGACCGCTGTTTAGAATGGGAAGAATGGCGGGGTCAGCAGCGACGACGATGTTTATCAAGCTGTGTGTTACGTTCGATCCTCTCTGACGATATGTAAACACGAAAAAGAAGTCATCTTCATCCTTGTTTATCTCGTGGCCAGCGCGTTCGGAGGAAAGGACAAAAAAAATAAGAACCATATATATTGATTCTCCTGAACGAGAATATTAAAAAGGGGATCGTATTCCTAACCTAAAAAAGAAAGAAAAAAAAATATTAATCATGACGCGAGTTAGGTCCTCGTCATTTTCTCTCTTTGTGTTTTGTTATTGACAGTCGATAGTAGAACGGACGATTGAATCGCATATCGGTCATAGCGTGTTCGATCAAAAGGAGGAGAGAAAAAAAAGAGAAAGGGAAGAAAGATAGAAATAATGATGATGGCCTTCTGCTCACGAGACGTCGCCGCGGATATCTTAACTGATCCGTGCGAAACACCAATTATAAGATACCAAAGTAACGCACCACTGCCTTTCCTCTGTTGTTACTTACGTTTTCTTTTTTTTTTCTGCCCTTGTTTCCCCCGCTCTTTGCATATCTATCTTTTTCCTCGCCAAAGACTCTTTTATGTATTAATTTTTTTTTTTTTAATTTTAAATGATAATCTTGAATTGCAACAGAGGTGGAGAGAGCAAGGGAAGAATAAAAATAATTAAAATTATTAACGAGAAAATTATTTTCATTCTTATGACACGGGATTTACTTAAAATCATATTTTCATTTATTTTTTAATTTAAATCCCATGTTGTATATTTTTCTTTTGTTTTTTTTTTTTTTTTTCTCCACTTTTGTCAATATCTCTCCACCGTTCTATTCGTCACCGTTCATTGACTTCTTTTCGCGCCACTTTTACTGCCATGTTTCTCTTTCTAATTTTACTTTTTAGTTTATCTTTTTAGTCTATTTCTACCTCGCACAATACTTGCTACACTAAACTATTTTTTCTTTTCCCTGCTTTCTTCTTTCTATATTCTTTCTTATTTCTCTTTCTGACATCTCAATCTATTAATCTACTTATCTATCTATATATCTACCTATCTATCTATTTAACTATTTATCTGTCTATCTTTGTTTCTCGTACTCGCTCTTCTCGCGTGACTTAAAAATGATCTAGTCACTAGTTTGTATTGCTAAATACTTCCGTGAATATACTCAGCACTGGGGGTGCCTTACAAAAAAACAAAGTCAAAAAAAAGAAAAAAAAATTAAAAAGAATTGCGCATTGTTTTTTAGCCTTACTTCGCGTGTAAAATGAGATTTGATGAAGGATAAAGAAAAACAAGAGAAACGAGATGAGAGAAAAATTTGTCATACTGATTCTTCTTTGCTACCTTCGCATAATTAAAAAAAAAAAAAGGAAGAGGATGGGGGGATTAACGGAGAGAGTATTTAACGACAGTACTAAAAAAAAAAAGAAATTAAAAAGAATTAAAAGAAAAATGAATGCCATGACATTGCCACTAATTACGCTTAAGTCGATACGAAGATCCTGATAGTAAAGACGTTAATTATGCCACGATACAAAATCCGCATGTATTTTTAGTAATAAATATAACTACGATTCACTAAAAAAAAAAAAAATCATGAAATATGTTTTTTCGACGACACTTTTTTTTACTGTTCATTGCTCGCCAAAAAAATATACATATATGTATATATACAAAAATGTAAAAAGACTTATCTGGCTCTACTATATTAAGATCACGAATTTGATATATATATATATTTCATTTTTTTTTTTCGTTAGCTTTTTTTATATTTAAAAATTATTTTCTCTCATTCTATTTTACGTGGCTATACTGTAATTATTCTCAGGACCTATCGATTTCGATCGAGAACGAAGCGTGCATGTCGACCATCGGTCGAGATTCTGATCGATATATCGATACATCTCCATTATCCGATGCTGATCGATTGCATTTCGATCTTCGACAGCACGGATCGATAATCGTGTACGTCGCTAGAGGGATAGAACTTTTATGTTGATGGAATCAGTATTCATGTTATCGAATCTTAATTATTATCGTAACGCCGATAATGAGTATTACTTCAAGCCGAATATAATACGTTATACTTTTTTAATTAAACCAAAAAGAACTATATACGGGAATCGCTGCCAAATAAAAGGAAAAATGAGAGAAGAAATAAAAAGCGTGACACGTGTTTACTAAGTCTCCATGAAGTCAGTAGCCAATATACATGTATATATTTATATGTATACCCAATCAATATATTTGTGTGTACATATATGTATATATATTCATTTGAAATATGTATATGTAGCTTTCTGAAATTCGTTTGATGTGTGTGTGCTGAATAGTAAAAAAAAAAAAAAAATAAAAAATAAAAAAAAATAAAAAAAAATAAAAAAATAAAAAAAATAAAAAAAAATAAAAATAAAAAAAAAGTAAAGAAAAAAAGGAAAACGCGAAACACGAAAGAAAGATAATTGCGGATTTTTCCCTGTACAGAGCGACGATAAAGTGATTTCATTTTTATGTGCGCTCGAGACACAGGAGCTCGTTAATTCGTCGTTGCGTTCATACGAACAGATTTTTTCATAAGTCCGTTAGATAAAATATAGGACTTAATTTTGGAAGAGAGAAGAAATAATGAAAAGGCTTTTAAAGGCCTATTTACATGCACCGTATTCTAGTCTTAAGCACTCTATGCCTTACACTGCCAGTTATAAAGACGCGCTGTTCTTGTGGATATCTGTAAATGGTACACACACACACATATATATGTATATGTATACAACAATGTCATTATCGCCAACACTATCGTCATCCTTGCTGTCATTGTAATATCGATCTCATCATATCGATCATGTGCATCATCATTTTCTTTTTATTAATAGCTTCTAACTCTCTTTTTTCTTCAATTTATCTCGATTATTTTATTATCATTATTATATTTATAAATTTTCATTTTGACTTCGTTTCATTTCTTCTTTTTTTATTATTTATTTCTATTATTCTGAGTTTCATTTAAACCTAATTTTTTTCAACATTATTTCATTATCTTTACTTTTTTATCTAAAATTAATTATGCGCGCCTCTCTCTCTCTCTCTCTCTCCTCCCTCC